CTCCGTAGGAAAGGAAACGCGGGGGCCCTCAGCGTCCTGCTGTCCTTCCCCTGGCGTGACACACGCTCCCTGCCCTCTGGCAATGGTGCCGGTGGGTGAGGAGAGATGGAGCTGTACCCCACAGCCAAGACTGCTGCCACCCAGTTGGGTTGGCATGGCCAAGGTCCCCAGGACTGCCAGCTCCTGCACAGCCGTGGTGCACAGCCAGGACAGCGAGGGAAGGGTGAAACTCTTGGAGTAGGATCCTTGCACTGATGTTTATCTGGTGACTTGCCCCTAGTTTGGGTGATGGAATTGCAGGAATGGCTGCTCAGCTGCTGCTCTGTGGTTATGTATTTTTTTTTAGCTAGTTAAGAGCATGGCTGCTCACACAACCGGTACGTTGCATTTTCTCAGTTTGCCTGCTGTGCCTCTTGCCCAGAGGAACTGGAGAAGGAAACTTGGTTCTCTTCATTTAATTTGAAATAAATCAAAATTCAGCGGTGGTGAACCTGTGCCAGGCTAAGGGCAACACTGCAAACCCTTAACTACCTACACTTCTGTGACGTGCTCTCAACTTGTAAAGAACCTGGATGGACCTGCTGGGAGATGCCTCTGCCCTGTTCCCAGCTGCTGTGACAGGGTGCGTGGTGGAGTAGCTGGTGTGTCTGTTGTGGTGCTTCTCCTCACATCCCTCTGCTCTGGCAGGAGGGCAGCTGGCTCAGCAGGGCTTGTGGTGGTCACCACTTTGGTGCCCAGGAGCTTATTTTCCCATGTTTAACTCCTGTAGGTCCATTGTTTTTACTTAAACGGAGGGTTCCTGTCCGTATGGAAGTGGAGCCTGAGATACAAAACCCCTTCAGATATTTTGGTTTCCCGATTGGCATTGCAGCGGTTGTTGCTGTGTCCAAACCTTGCCTGGGTGTGTCCAGCGAGAGCGGTGGGAGGTGAGCGAGGCTGTACGTACCTCGGGGTGTTTTTGCACCAGGGGGGCAAAACAAAATCAACCAGTGCTGTTACTTAAGCAGTTCCTTACAGAGTTTTACTGGTAATTCTTGAGTTTTACTGGTAATTCTTGCTTTCAGAGGGAAGGAAAAATAGAGAGACATTTTGAAGTGATGCCAGTCCCCTGGGAGCACTCTGCCTTCCTCGACCGGGCTGGGGAGAGCGGCATGGCTGGGTGACCTGTGTCCATCCTGCCTGCTGCACTGTCCAACCATCCACTTCCCAACCTGGAGGGGAGGGTCAGGTTGGAAGGAATTAAATTCTTATGCTGTAGTTTATCAAATCCTCATGGGAAGCAAGAATTCAGTCTGTCCATCTGCTCTGCACCCTGCTCTGCT